CGGCATATTGAAATACCATAAAGCATTCATTTGTTTCAGTGTTTTGAGTCAATCCATATATCTTAAGACTACTACCGGATAATCCACAATGCACGTGATTGTTAAACTTTGTAAATTTATATAAATGAATTAGTTCAGTATGTGCTTAATAAACTGTGTACAATGATTTAAAGCTTACCTCTTTCAAAAAATCATGAGAATTTTCCTTGGAACCAGATAAGGTCTTGAGTGCAACAACGCTAGATGGCTCACGTACTCGTGTATAATTACCGCGATCATCATTAATTTTTCGTATACCATCTAACCAGGTCGCAGAAAATACAGAGCTAAATCCTCCTTCGCCAATTTTTTTAATATTATTTAGTCTATCAAATGGAATCCATTCAATCATATATTCATAATCACTAGTTCTAAGTTGAACCCCTTTGATACAATTATCAATATCCTTATTTCCACTTGTCCATTCTCGAATTGTTATGTCAGGATCACATGTCAGGCACCATGCTTGATACGTATTATATTCATTACAATGTGTACATTTTCCACATTCTGATTTTCTTTATAATTATTATTGTATTATATTAGTTATTTTACATGTTTATGTTAGCTTTTAAATCAGGTAATGTTATGCTCACCGACTAATCAATGCGAATAAAATGAAATTATCGTAAATATTTATGAGCATGAGTAGCTTATTTTAAAATAAATAGATTAATAAATGTTCTTTATACTCACGTACTAAATTAACGCGAATAAAATGTAAATATTCATGAGCTTGAACAGCTTATTTAAATACTTGAGATTAACAAATGTTCTTTATACTCACCGACTAAATTAATGTGAATAAAATAAAACTAATAGTAAACATTCATAAATTTGAATAGTTTATTTTAAATACTTAGATTAATAAATGCTCTTTATACTCACACACTAAAAATTTATGTGAACAAAATCAATTAAAATAAATATTCATGAACTTGAATAGCTTATTTTAAATACTCAGATTAATAAATGTTCTTTATACTCACAGACTAAATTAACGCGAATAAAACAAAATTAAATAGTAAAAATTCATGGAATATCTTATGTTAAATACTTAAATCAATAAATGTCCTTTATACTCACTAACTAAATTAATGCTTACATATTTTAAATATTTTGATTAGTACATGTTCTTTATACTCACCCACTAAATTGACGCGGAATAAAATTAAATAATTAATATCCATTAGCTTGAATAGCTTATTTTAAATACTCAGTTTAATAAATGTTCTTATACTCACCCACTAAATTGACGCGGAATAAAATTAAATAATTAATATCCATTAGCTTGAATAGCTTATTTTAAATACTCAGTTTAATAAATGTTCTTATACTCACTTACTAAATTAACGCGAATAAAATAAAATTAAATAGTAAATATTCATAAACTTGAATAGCTTATTTAAACACTTGGATTAACTTTTGTACTCACCGACTAAATTAACACGAATAAAATAAAATTGAATGGTAAATATTCTTGAATTTGAATAGCTTATTATAAATATTTTTATACTCACCCACTAATTAACGCAAATAAAATTAATCAATAAATATTCACAAACTTAAAATAGCTTATTTTAAATATTTGATTATAAATGTTCTTTATACTCACACACTAAATTAATGCGAATAAAATAAAAATTAATCATGAATTTGAACTGCTTATTTTAAATACTTTGATTAATCATTATTCTTTATACTTACTAACTAAATTAACACGAATAAATAAATGTTCATGAATTTGAATGATTATTTTAAATACTTTGATTAATAAATGTTCTTTATACTCACTTACTAATTAACGTGAAAAAATAAAATTAAATAGCAATATTCATGAACTGAATAGTTTATTTTTAAATATTTTGATTAATAAATGTTCTACTCACCGACTAAATTAATGCGAACAAAATAAAATTAAATCCATGAACTTGAATAATTTATTTTTAAATACATTGACTAATAAATGTTCTTTATACTCACGAACTAAATTAATGCGAATAAAATAGTTAACATTCATGAACTTGAGTAGCTTATTTTAAATACTTAGATTAATAATTGTTTTTATACTCACATTCTAAAGTGAAATTAAATAGTAAATATTTATGAATTTGAATAACTTATTTTAAATACTTAGATTAATAAATGTTCTTTATACTTACGGACTAAGTTAATGAGAATAATCCGATTTTGAGCATATTATTTATATAAATAGAAATTACATAAACTATTGTAAACAAAATAATTTTATAATTTATAAAATTGATCTTTATACTTACTCCCTAAAGGATTAAATAGCCTTTAAGAATTTCCAATTTTAAAATATAAAATTCAAATGTATTAACAAAAATTTTGAAATAATACTTTTTAAGCCAATTACTGCATTTGTCACCATTCTTTTCCACACCAACTCCGTGTTTGTAACAAATGGCTGTTTTCCTAATTAATTCCCATAGCGTTACCGGCCTCGGCAGATTTTAGATAATACATAAACGCTTCACGCTTATCTATTTTAACCCCAATTCCTAAATAATAACAATAACCAACTTGATACATTGCGTTAGGATTATTCATTTCTGCCGATTTTTGATAATGAATGAATGCCTTATTCTCATCCTTTTCAACTCCAATTCCATATTCGTAACAATAACCAAACCAGAAAATATTCCATCTGGGTCATTCATATCGGCTGATTTTTGACAATCGATGAATATTAGTTGATTAAAAGCATTTTTATCTTTTGTATCCGACATTTTATATCGAAAGCGTAAGTTAGAATTAATTTTATTGAAGTGCATTTGGTCAAACATATATCCCCAAATTCTATATTAAGTATTGTACAGCACTAGAGTTGTACAGTACGTACGTACGTACGTTAATTTTGAATTTCACCATAACTTCGAGTTTCTCATTGGCTATATATTTAGCTTCACCAGAATTTTCACCAGTTTTATCAGCACCTCTAGTTCGCACGTGCTTACGTACATACGTATGTTTGTATCGCCAGCGCGTTAGTCGACGAACTATCGATTAAATCGAAAAGCTTAATACTACCATATACATTATGAAAAAAAACTTTTAGAAATATTAAGCCAGCGAAAGTTATTTGCATTAAATAATAATTCAAGCCGATTAGATTTTTATTGTTCGGCTAAGTTTAGCTAAGAATTAGTTACATCGATATAAATTTTCACAATTTACTTAAACAAAGCTTCTTAATATTTAAATTTTGTTTAATGTTAATATTAATAAAATTTGGTATCAATATTTATTTTATTTTACTAGCTATATTAATTAAAAATGCTTATAGTTATAAAGAGCTTTAAAATTGAATATTAGTATTATTAGTAAAAATACTTTGAAAGAAAATTTCGCAAAAAAAAAAAACATTAAATTATAATTTTAGATTCTCAAAAAAAACTTATTAATAAAAAATTTTTAATTTAAATATATACCTTTTATTAATTAGATTTTTGATTAAAATTTTTACAAAAGATAAGGTTCGTCATTTTACAGAGGTGAGAACTGGATATAAAAAATCCTTATATTATTTAGATAAAATATGGCTATACATGTAATTATACTTTACCGCATTTAGATTACTTCTGAAGATTTAGAAATGTGATTTTAAGAAATTGTAATAAATCTTAAGAGGATATTAAATTTATGTTTTTAATTTTTAATATTCTTGAGAACATTAAAACATTAAATTTCCAATACTGGATGAATTAGACCTTAAAGTTAAAATTTCATCTGTGCTCATGAACTTGAATAGCTAATTCTAAATATTTAGGTTAAAAAAAGTTTCCTGTTTAGAGCATATGTATTGTATTCAAAGAAATAAATTGAGTCGTCGAATATTAATTAGTCTGCGAATATTCGAACAAGCTCTATATAAAACTTTTATTATAAACAACTTGATACACAATATATTTCTTCGTATAATCAATTTGGGCTAGCTAAGATATTATATTAACAAATCAATTGATTAATTGATAAAAAGTTCGTATGTCATAATCAATCATTGATCATTAATAATTTTGGTCATTTCAAGTCATTTACCATCCCGTCTTAAAGTCAGGCTTAAGAAAAAAACTTTATATGCCGATCTTGGGTCGATTTTTTTTTTGTATCAACGAAATTCAGACTTTTGTTTAACTTTAGTATATTACATGTTAACAGTAAGGCAGAAATATGAGCTATTTGAGTATGTATCCGTGAAGCAAATTTTTACAAGATGTAAATGTAAAAAGCGAAAAAAAATTTCAATGATCCACTTTTCTCTTTTTAAAACGAACCAATTCTAAAACTTTATCTTTATCTATAAATTCAACTATTTCAATCCACCTTTTCTCTTCATTACCACCAATTTCTCCCACAGAATTTGAAAAAACGTGAATAAAATGATTTATAATCTCTGAACAATATTCACCCAAAATTTCATATCCATTATCAGCAAATTTCATATATTTAATTCTCTGATCTTCATATGTAATAGTGGATGACGCAGAAGCATAACCATAATAAAGTATTGGAGTTCTACCATTAGCAAAAAACACGATCTTTACAGATCTTCTGAGGCTTTTATAAGCTTCAAGAATTATTGATTCTATAGTCTCGATAAAAGAAGTTAAAGTTGTTGCTGCTGAATGGTTTATTTCATCAATAGCGGAACTGTTTGCTGTTAAAAAGGTAGAAGCATCATCGGAAGTTTCAGATCGAATTGAAACAGATGATGATGATGATTGATAAGGAACAAAGGGATGCTGAGATATAGGAGAAAACAAATTTGTCGGTGAATCAGGTCTAATAATATTGTTTGTTGATTGAGAAGTTTCCATCTCAATTTTTTTCAATGGAAACAAAATTTTTGTATTAAATACGATTTTATTTAGTTTTGTGTATGCTCTGAAATTTTCTTTGCTAGATAACATACCTCATTCTCAACGGACTTTTTTGGTTCGTTTTCATCTAATATTAATTCTTGCATATGAATATCTAATAAGTTGTTTTCAACTACGGATGTTATAAAATCATCATCATCATCGCTCTTTAAAATACGAAAAAAATAATAATGAAAAGTTATAAATAAAAATAACAATTTACTATATTAACATCATTCAAAAATACCGACTCGTTTCCTCTTTGTTGTCAATTCAGCTTCTTGATTAATATTTTTGAAGAGAATATCAAAATCTTCTTGGAGTATTTGTAAATAATTAATCATGTCAATTTCTGGCTCGCCCTTGTCAGTCATTGTCAAAAGTATTTGGCGGTAAATATTGGTGTTTGAGATTCAAAAAAAATGTATATATATTTTTTTAAAAAAATTTAAACATTATGATATCATAAATTGACTTATGGCTAATATATAATGTTATATTTACATGATCGGAAATTGTAATCTCAGCGTAAGTGCAATATATCGTGCAGTATATTATACATTTGATCAATTTTTAATAATGATGTAAAACTCATTTGATTAGGTCACTAAATTAATAATCTCGGGCTTTTTTATACTATTATCTCTAAATTTTTGACAAAATCATCCGGAATATTACTATTGAATCTATCTATCCATAAAAATAGAAAATCAAAATTAGTGTTGTACAGTATACCATAAATTCTCGAAGTATCGGACGTTATTTCGAAAATTGCACTTCATGCGCGTCCTAAATAACGCGCACCTCATATAATATATCTGCAGATTTATAATATAATGACAATAAGGTTTGGAAATTGACCCTTGATCTTGAAATAATGAAGTGCAGTTGATCGAGAAATAACGCGCAGATGCCCATTATTTTATTTCGGGAACTTACGGTACTCTTATAATAATATGCGTATTCATGTCTCTACTGATTTTTGGTTTTGGTTTAATGGATATGATTAAGATATAATTTAGTAATAGATATATAATACACGTATTTAAATTAGTGTAGATTTCGCGTTGGGCCTGGTTTCAAAATTCGGATCCATGTATAATTGGAGCGAACTCATATAAAAACTAAGCAAATTTGACTTCTGCTAATTTCTCTTTTTTTTTTTTTTTTTTTTTTTTTTTGAGGAAATCATTAGAATGATATGTTTAATAGAATTAAAAAGAATTTGTACAGTGTATTTAAATGTTAAATAAGAATTTTTGTGGTCTGCTTTTTGAATTAGTACTTGTCAGACATACAGTCAACTCCCTCTAAATGCATCTTGCTGAGACCATAAAAAAAAAAACAGCAACAACTTGCACTTAAAGAAATACTTCCTCAAAGTACTATACACAGTACTTGAGGTCAAGGGTGTACTGCATTATAAAGAGAACAATTTATTAAGATCTGCGATCAAAAGTATCTGCACTTTGAGAGAACTAATTTTAGCGAGAATATCAAATCAATCGAGTTAATCTAAATTTAGATCAGTATTAGTATGTATTTATCAAAGAATCTTCATTTTATCCATAGTTTCATTATATCGTACCTTCTAGAATTTTCTATTTACCGTCCTACATAATTATTTATTTATAATTAAGCAATAGTGAAAGCTTAATTTTCTCCTCATCTTAAATATAGTGTTGTGATTACATGACGTTAAAATATTCTAAGAACGGAATCAATTATATCGTTATTCGTAAAGTTTCTTGTTATTAATGAAGATGACATTATTTAATAATGTAAAATTAAAGGTATCAATATAGTGCTTTTTTCCCATCAATCCTAACCACAAAGTTTTTTTCTCGTTAAACATTTTCATTCACTATAAAAATTTTCTAATACGTGTAATGGTACCAAGACTTCCCGAAGATATCCTCAAAGAAATTTTTGAGAAATTGGAAGACGAAACTGGCTCACTTTTTTCTTCATTATTGGTTAATCGACTTTGGTGTTTAAATGTTATACCAATTTTATGGAAAAATCCATTAAAAAATCAATTTAAAAAAGCCGATGAAAATTTATTAACTTGTCAACTTCGTTGTACATTACTTTTACGAACTTTACTTTCTTGTTTATCAGAAGATTCAAGAAATTTATTATCTGAAAATAGACTTGAATTACCATTTAAAATCTCTCAACGTGCACTTTTTGATTATCCAATGCACTGCAAAAATTTAAGAACTTCTGATGTTAGTATGCTTGTTTGGAGTGTTGTAGAAAGAAAACAAATTTCTGGTCAACGTGGAAAATTTTTATTCTTCGTTTTGGAACAAGAACTTTATAAACTTTTCTTTTCTAGAAGTTCGGCTATTCAACAATTCACTCTTTGTACAATGTTACATTCTATTCAACTTTTTCCTGGTGCAAATAATTCTTTAGCAAATTTATCTGTATTAAGATGCAGTACAGAAAGTCATGAATCTTTCTTTTTTGGTTTGGCTCAAATTTGTGAAAGGATCAAAGTTATTATTGTAGATTTTTGCGATAAAGATAATGATGGTTTGAATTTCTTAATTTGTGTTCAGAACGGTGTGAGTTGTTTTGAATGTAAACATGGAAGAATTCAAGGTCAAGAAAGTCAATGTCCTAACCTTAATATTGCTCTACAAACACAAGCTCATTCATTAAAAAAACTTGATATAATAGATAATATGGGTGGAATTTCTTTGAACACTATATGTGCTTTCGTCAACTTACGATCCTTAAAATTTACGATCTCGGATGAATTATCGGATGTTGTTGTCAATAATTTGAAAAATGCTTATATTCCTAATTTGGAAACTTTAGAAGTTCGTGGTGAACCAATTTCTGTAAAAGTTTTATCATCTTTAATTAAAAATACACGAGGAAATTTTCAAAAACTTCATATATATGGATGGAGACCTAGTGCTGATGATAATCTTGGTAGTCTTTTACCTATCTTGAGAAAATATTGCCCAAAATTAAGATCATTAAGTACCTGGATTGGAGAAGACGATCTAATAAATCTCGAACTCTTATTAAATTTTTGTCATGAATTAGACAGCATTTTTTTACGAGTATATTCTAATGAACTTATGTCACGATATGGAATCTTTAATTTACTCAAAAGAGCGAATCCGATAAATTTACGCAAATTGAAGTTGGAACACATATTTTTATTAGACGAGGAAGAAGGACTTGAAATGTTTCTTAAAAGTCGGAAAACCAAGAACCCGTTAATCTTGGAAATTGTTGGAAATTTAATTTCTCAAGATTCTTCAGAAATTATTTCAATTTGTAAATTTAATGGTGTGTTAAAAGATGCAAAGTTGTTATGCTTCGGTGAAGATTCTGCACCAGATCAACAAACTCCACATTGGAAAATTGATGTAATTATTTAAAATGAAAATTGTTGAAAATTGTTGAAAAAGATTAATACAGTAGAAATTATCTTTTATTTCCACATAATTTTGTAAGTACAAACTTTTTGAATAGAAAAAAAAAATTAATGTTTCTAGCAATGAGTGCGTATGAATATAAACAAAAGAATTACTCTTCTTAATAAAATGTTGGAAATTTTGAAATTAACTAATTTTTTTAATATTGGTTCGCTAATACTAAAATACTAAAAATGGGTTAAAAATTTTAAAATAAAACTGTTATGATAAAAACGAACGTCCGGAACTCGATAAAAGTATTATTATTTGCTTCATGATAATCTTATTAAATAATATCAATTTAAAGTTATTTTATTGCATTTTTTTTTCTCTTAAATCATATTTTGCTTCTATTATTTCACTTATTTATATCTTTTGACGCACGTGTATTCAGGAGCACTAGATTTGGACTGGCCTAATTATTGGTCTAAGTTTTGTATAATTTTCTAATTTGCAAAAGTGTATTTTTTACAAGGTTTGTTTGTCTGCTGCATTTCTGCAAATATATAGTCATGGCGACAACGATACTAACCTAATTTCCTCTAAATATTAATATTTGCATTAATATAGAAATATGTAATATATCTAAAGTTTTGTGCCGAAAAAATTTACTTAATAACAGAAAACTAGTTTACATAGCAAATTTATGAGTTTTTGCGATTTTTCGTCTTCGAATTTACAGTCACATTTGATCTGATTGGGTAAAAATCACGGGTCCGCCAAATGAATATTGTACTTTATATGGAGCGGGCATATAATGATCATTCAGATAATCCGAATAACTCGCGTTGTGAATAAAACTTACATACAAGCTGTAAATTATTTGTAATGAATATTATTCCACTTTTTTTAAAGAAACAGCCAGGATTGTGATGGAGTTTATTCCCCTAAATATAATAAATATATAGGTAGTATACAAAGTATTACAAATAAATTATCGTCGTAAATTCTTTATTCCATAGTACAGCTAAAAATGATTGGGTAATTATAATTAATCTGATCTGGCTCAAAAGTCTATGATCTCAGAAATAATAATAGTAAAAACATTACGAGATTGGAACAAGGGATTAGACATAAGAGATTTCGAGGTTCAGCAAACTATTCATGATTTATAAGTAAATTTATATTGACAAACTTATGTTTATATATTCTTTGTCGTTAAGGTCAATTCAAATAATATTGCTTTATTGGTTTCAATCTGAAATGTAATAGACTGTAGACAATATATATATATTCAAAAAAGAAGGAACACTTTTAAAGAGTAGTAAAAAAAGAAATCGCTCCATATGAGCGATTAATGCTGACAAGCTATATGTTATCGTCCGGGAAACCTTGTAGAAAACTTTATTAGAAACAGCTTGCTTGCCATATCCTTTATTTATTGTATATTAATTTTACGTACAAAACTTAGTATCCAAGTTGGTTAAACCAGCCATTTAGCTTTTTATCTGGTTGATAATTTTATCGGCCGGCTAATCATAATAATCAATAAAGATACCGAATTTGTTAAATATGAAAATATTTTGTTACCACTAAACAAAAATTAAAATATTAAGAACTCTTTAAATAAACTGTGAAATCACTAATTTTTGGCTAAGCGGATAAATCAATAAAAATTTAACGGTTTAGCTGGGCCATAAAAATTTAATCGGTATCACTAGTACTGTATTAACACAAATGACTAAATAACGATAGCTTTGTTTTAGAGCTACGTACGTACAGTACGTACGTATGCAGGTATAGGTATTTTTTTATCGTATATGGTAGTATAAGCCTTTCTACTTATTTCGATAGTCGTGTACGGATTATCAGTGATACAAAGCCAAAGAAACACAGTAAGTACGTACGATTGGTATGTGTCAGGTATGTACTGTACGTACGTACGTACTTAATATAGATTTGGAATACGTATATTGTTTGATCAAATCACTACATTCAACGTTTCAATAAAATTAACTCTTCTCATACAACATAACTTACGTTTTGGATATAAAATGTCAGATACAAAAGATAATAATGCATCAGATGAAATTATTAAAATCGCCAATATTTTTAATCAACTGAAATTTATCGATTGTCAAAAATCAGCCGATATGAATGACCCAGATGGAGTATTCTGGCTTGGTTATTGTTACGAATATGGAATCAGTGTTGAAAAGGATGAGAATAAGGCATTCATTCATTATCAAAAATCGGCAGAAATGAATAATCCTAACGGAATATATCATGTTGGTTATTGTTACGAATATGGAATTGGTGTTGAAATAGATAAGCATAAAGCGTTTATTCATTATCTAAAATCTGCTGAGGCTGATAATGCTATGGGAATTTGGAAAACAGCCATTTGTTATTGGTACGGAGTTGGTGTGGAAAAGAATGGTAACGAATGCAGTAATTGGATTAACAAGTATTATTTCAAATTTTTCGTTAATACATTTGAATTTTATATTTTAAAATTGGAAATTCTTAAAAGTTATTTAATCCTTTAGGGAGTAAGTATAAAGATCAATTTTATAAATTATAAAATTATTTTGTTTTTCTATTTAAATAATATGCTCAAAATCGGGTTATTCTCATTAACTTAGTCCGTAAGTATAAAGAACATTTATTAATCTAAGTATTTAAAATAAGTTATTCAAATTCATAAATATTTACTATTTAATTTCACTTTAGAATGTGAGTATAAAAACATTTTATTAATCTAAGTATTTAAAATAAGCTACTCAAGTTCATGAATATTTACTATTTTATTCGAATTAATTTAGTGCGTGAGTATAAAGAACATTCATTAGTCAATGTATTTAAAAATAAGCTATTCATGGACATTTACTATTTAATTTTATTTTGTTCGCATTAATTTAGTCCGTGAGTATAAAGAACATTTATTAATCAAAGTATTTAAAAATAAACTATTCAGTTCATGAATATTTACTATTTAATTTTATTTTATTCGCATTAATTTAGTATGTGAGTGCAAAGAACTTTTATTAATCAAAATATTTAAAATAAGCGATTAATTTTCATGAATATTTACTATTTGTTCGCGTTAATTTAGTGAGTGAGTATAAAGAACATTTATAATAAAAGTATTTAAAATAAGCCATTCAAGTTCGTGAATATTTATTGTTTAATTTTATTTGCGTTAATTAGTGGGTGAGTATAAAAATATTTAAAATAAGCTATTCAAGTTCAAGAATATTTACCATTCAATTTTATTTTATTCGCGTTAATTTAGTCGGTGAGTATTAAAAAACATTTGTTAATCCAAGTATATAAATAAGCTATTCAAGTTCATGAATATTTACTATTTAATTTTATTTATTCGCGTTATTTTAGTAAGTGAGTATAAAGAATATTTTTTTAAAAGTATTTTAAAGTAAGCTATTAAGTTTATGAACATTTACTATTTAATTTTATTTTATTTTATTCGCTTTAATTAGTGAGTGAGTACAAGAACATTTATTAATCAAAGTATTTAAATAAGCTATTCAAGTTAATGGATATTAATTATTTAATTTTATTTCACGTCAATTTAGGGCGTGAGTATAAAGAACATGTACTAATCAAAATATTTAAAATATGTAAGCTATTCAACTTCACAAATACTTACTATTTAATTTTATTTTATTGCATTAATTTAGTTGGTGAGTATAAAGAACATTTATTGATTTAAGTATTTAACATAAGCTATTTCATGAATATTTACTATTTAATTTTGTTTTATTCGCGTTAATTTAGTGCGTGAGTATAAAGAACATTTATTAATCTGAGTATTGAAAATAAGCTATTCAAGTTCATGAATATTTATTTTTAATTGATTTTATTCACATTAATCTAAGTATTTAAAATAAGCTATTCAAGCTCATGAATGTTTACTATTTATTCGCGTTAATTTAGTCGGTGAGTATAAAGAACATTTGTTAATCTCAAGTATTAAATAAGCTGTTCAAGCTCATGAATATTTACATTTTATTCGCGTTAATTTAGTGAGTATAAAGAACATTTATTAATCTATTTATTTTAAAATAAGCTACTCATGCTCATAAATATTTACGATTTAATTTCATTTTATTCGCATTAATTAGTCGGTGAGCATAAAAATCTGGACTAGATTTAAAAGCCAACATAAGCATGTAAAATAACTAATATAATACAATTAATAATTATAAAGAGATTCAGATTATGGAAAATGTACACATTGTAATGAGTATAATACGGAGAAAGCATGGTGCCTGACATGTGATCCTGACATAACAATTCGAGAATGGACAAGTGGAAATAAGGATATCGATAATTGTATCAAAGGGTTTCAGCTTAGAATTAATAAATATGAATATATGATTGAATGGATTCCATTTGATAGACTAAATAATATTAAAAAAATTGGCGAAGGAGGATTTGGATCCGTATTTTCTGCGACCTGGTTAGATGGTACACGAAAAATTAATGGTGATCGCGGTAATTATACACGAGTATGTGAACCATCTAGCACTGTTGCACTCAAGACTTTATCTGGTTCCAAGGAAAATTCTCATGATTTTTTGAAAGAGGCAAGTTAAATCATTATACTATTTTATTAAAACATATTGAACTACAAATTTACATAGTTTGACAATCACGTGCATTGTGGATTATTCGGTAGTAGTCTTAAGATATATGGATTGACTCAAAACACTGAAACAAATGAATGCTTTATGGTATTTCAATATGCCG